CCAATACTCGGAAATTTAACTTGGCCAAGGGCACATAGTTAGTGGCAGAGCTAGAATTCAAACTTAGAACACGTTCAACCTAACGTTCTTATTGTTAACCTCAACAAGGGACTTCTTTCCTTTCTGGTCCATCCTGCATACAGTCTAAATAAACTGCCTTAAAATAGTCATTTGTGGTCAAACTTCTGTAATCAAGAATGTATAGTTCCTTTTCCTCACTCCTTATAAGGTCCAAATCCAGGGTACTAAAAGCAAAGAGGAGGACCATTAGTTCAGGCTCACTGGCTGAAACCTGCCAGAAACTGTTGCCATGAAATTTCAATCCATGAAATTCTTTGAACAGTCAGCAAAGGAGTTCAGACATTATATGGAGCAGCCATTAAAATCACCAGCGTAAGAGGAGTGGCAAGATAAAAACAGATGGGGGATTTCAGACATGATATGTTCAGAAGGTAGGGGAAAACTGAAGGCAGGAAGACTCAGGTATGGTCACAATCTAGGCCTGAGGTGACAGAGACATGAACTAGCACAGTGGCAGTGAAATACGGACTCTTTGAGGGAAAAACGATGCCTTTCTTTCTTTCTCTCCCCCCCACCCCAAACCTTGACACTTGGCATAGTGCCTGACACAGAGCCAGAGTTCAATGAATATTTGTTAAATGAATGAGAGGAGAGATAGATAGATAGACAGGAAAGACAGATGGAGGCTGAGCAGGAGTGGTGACTTAGTGGCTGTGAGGGAGAAGGGAACAAAAAGAGGGAGGTGGATGCTGTGGCAAGTGTCAGAGATGAAGACAGTTGTGAAACCTTTGACATCAGAAAACGGCAGGGGGTTGTTTGGAAAAGATACTGAGTAGTTTATTCACAAATAATTTGAGATGATGTGGGAAAGGCAAGTGCAAGTGATGATTGGAGTCATGTGAACTTAGGAAAAACATGTAGACGGATGCATGTAGCACTGTGAGTGAGCTGTATCATGTTGCCTTTTCCTTTTATTTGGGAATAACAAGACTTTTGTGAGAGTAAGGACAGAAAAGTACCCGGCTGCCGAATAGTCCTGATAATTAAAGAGTGGTTATTCTTTTAATAACCTTGGTTATTCTAAACTTTTCACACCCTATTATGGTCTTCCAAAAAGCAAACAAACAAAAAACAAGACAGTTACTTTGTATTAGTCAGATGAAGTCACTCCCAGATGAGTGAAAATCATGCTGTGAAATTGGCTTTACCACCTCATGGCTGTATTAAGACAGGTTAGAACTGGACCCAGACACTTAAGTAGCAAGTATGTTTTCTTGCGAGTTGTTTTGCATCTGGGTAAATTAGCATGCTCCTTTGTGTGGAACCCCAGTGTGGATGAGTTTTCTGGTTTATAGCAAACCTACATATTGTCAGGGCAAGTGTAAAGTAAATTCAAATGTGTTTAGAATAGTAGACAAAATTAAATAATATAGCATAGAGAAACCAGTAAACTGTTAATCATAGAAAAAGAAATGGGTGATATTAATCAAATATCTTAGTTTATTTTTTTTGTGGCTCAGAGCTAGTGAAACGGAATATCCTATATAATAAAAGCAAATATGCAAATCGACTGAACGGCAGAATGACCAGTCAGCAGGGGACAGGGCCAGCGAGCAGGCAGGGTTTTTGTGGCTCAGAGCTAGTGAAACGGAATATAATATCTTATATAATAAAAGCAAATATGCAAATCGACTGAACGGCAGAATGACCAGTCAGCAGGGGACAGGGCCAGCGAGCAGGCAGGGCCAGGCCAGCCAAGGCATGTGCCAGCAGGCAGAGGGAGGGAATGGTGATAGAGGGGGCCAGCACCATTCCCTGATCAGCCCATCCGGTTGCCTCCCACAGAGGGAGGCCCGGCAGCAACAGCGGGATGATGGGGGCAGTGCTGTCCCCGATCAGCTGACCTGGTTGCTTCCTGCAGAGGGAGACCAGACTGCGGCTTAGGTCCGCTTCCACCAGGATGTCCAGTAGGACATCCCCTGAGGACTCCCAGACTGAGAGGGTGCAGGTCTGGCTGAGGGAGCCCCACCAGTGCATGACTGGATCTCTAGTACCTATAATAAAAGAGTACTCTGCTTAATTTAATCCTCTATGATTTGAAAGTCAGAGTAAGCACACAAAATTCAGTTATAAACAGTAGAGATTTATGAATATAAGTGTCAATCAGTAAACAGTTTCATGAAATGTTTATTAATACTTTAATTAGTATTAGCTTACAAATTAATCATTCATTTATTGTTTATTTAGAGTAGTTTAGATGAACATTGGACTACATTGTTTAATATATCAGAATTAGTACCAACAATCCTATTACCATTTAGTTATTGGTAGTTATTTAATAACTTCTGAATATATTTCAGGTTTTATTCTAGCAATGAATTTGAAGGTGTCCCTGGAAGAAGAAATATCTACAGGTAATTTATGTCGATTCAGTTTAGTATATTTCTATATTGATATTTGAATAAAATCTGTCATGATCCTCAGAATATATAGAATTTAAAAGCCTGAAATGAAGTAGGAATAACTTGTGAATTGAGATAAAACATTCAGAGAATGGTTTGCACTACATCAGTATAAAGTTATATAACCCCAAAATATCAGCTAACTCAAATGTTTGTTTTCAAAAAGAAAAATCATGAAATTTTAATGCAGATGTAAATATAATGCTAAATAATTTAACTAAATTATTACAGGTAATTGAGGACATTTATTCACTTACACTCATGTATTAAGTACCTACTGTACTTATTCCCATCATGTGTGATTTCTTTTAACATCATTCACTTTGGCATAAGCCTCCTGTGATTGGAAGGAGTTCATCTTCGTTCTTAATTAGTGTTTAAGTTGGTCCAGTGGTTGCTTTGATGATTGGAAGGGTGCCCTAAACAGCCCCTTCTGGATGTGGAGTACAAACAACAGGAACTGTAGGCTGGTGAGTTTGCTATTTGCCAGGTACCTTCTTACTGCTTTATGTATTAATCTTACTTAACTCCCACAACAACTCTAAGAGGCAGGTGATATTGCTGAAGCCAGGATTTGTACCTGGGCAAGCTGCACCTGACCCCTTACTGTGGGCAGCCTACCTCACATTTCCCAGATCACACCAAAATATGAACATGCATCTTAACAGTAACTGAGGAAATAAGACATTTTCACTCTGCTGCATTCCTCTGTTCCTCTGTTCCCCCTGGGATCTTGGCCCTTTATTGGTTGGGGTTGGGGAGAATCCCTCTATGGAGCTGGCCATGTCTCTGGCCACCTCTACCCAAGGCAAAGTCAGGGAAGCAGCAGAAGGAACACTGCGGAGACCACAGGGGACCTTCCCATCCATGCTGTGTTTATGACCCTGCCTCCACCCTGGCATAATACCTCCTAGTCTCCACCAAATTATAAAAGACTCGAATTCTGACAGAATCTGGGAGTCAAAGCCAAACACCCCATTCAGAAACCATGCAGAGGCCTCTGCCGAGGAGAGAGTGGGCCCAGCACGGTAGGTACAGGTTGGCTTGTGTAGAAATGTGTGGAGGGAGCATTCCCAGGAAGAGCTTCCCTGGGCCCAAATGTCCTGTTTCATGGAATAAAAGGCACAGGAGGAACATGATTTGTGGTTTCTCATTTCCAATTTGGTTGTTAGTAATTTCTCCTTCCAGTTATATGGTAAGAACAGATTCCCCTGGTATGTTTTGCTGGTGGGAATACAAAAAGAGAGGTGGGAAGAGGAAGAGCTATGCATTCCCAATCACTCTGTGAAGTGTGAGAGATGAACGGCTATGCGAAGTGATTACCTCATGCCCACTCGAGGCGTTAGATACTTCCCCCACCTAAGGAAATCACAGAGGGCTTCTCCCTTGAGGCTTGTGCCTGTTCAGGCAAAAATTGAAAATCAAGCTGCATTAGAATGCTAAGAATTCCCCTTCACTTTATTTTTTTCATGTTTTTATTGACTTTTAGAGAGAGAGAGGAAGGGAACGGAGTAGAGATAGAGACATCCGTGAGAGAGACACATTGATCGGCTGCCTCCTACACGCTCCCTACTAGGGATCGAGCCAGAAACCTGGGCTTGCGTCCTGACCAGAAATTGAACTGGTGACCTCCTGGTTTCTAGGTCAATGCTCAACCATTGAGCCACACTGGCCGGGCTCCCCTTCACTTTAAATGACCTTGGCACGAGAAAAATGGAGTAGGTTTGATGTCAATATGTAAATTAGTCATTTTATAGTGCATTAGTATATTTTGATAAATACAATCTTAAATTTTGAATTTATTTTCATTTTTCTCTAGAATTAGCATTGGAAGCTATCCTCCAAGCAAGAAGTGTATTACCTGCCATCTAAGGCAAGAAAGGTGCCAATATTACACAGCAAGTTTCAGTGACTACTCCAAGTACTATGCACTCATCTGCTATGGTAGGTAATGGACTTAACACAGTTTACCACTTCACTGCCGGTCATCCTCGTCACCACCATCTGATCAATCCTTAGCTACGGATGAGTAAGCAGGATTTAAATAATACCATACAAGGAAGTTTTCTCTGATAAAATTGTTGCTGGACTTCACCCATTTTCTTGGAGAAATGTCAAACTCATTCAGGCCAGGGAAAGAACAGTGGCCTAGAAACCAAAGCCCTTCGCTGGGAGGCCAGTAATTCTTTAAAATGTAGTTTCAGATGGGATGGAAAAGGAATTTTTGTCACCGAGTATGTTTTTTTCTAAATTTGGGAAACATAATAAGTATTCATGCAAATATTTAAAAAAATCATAGATAATAAATTAAATATTTCCAGCTTGCTTAGGCCATGTGTACATTTAGTGAATAATTTCTATCCAGATAATTTTACACATAAAATGTTATTTATATCTTGATCATTGGGTAAGCAATAAAATAGGTTAGGTTAGGGGATGAGTGGATTGATGAACTATGTTGGGGTCCTAGGGGTTTAGAAAACAGACTTGGGAAATATCTACTTGTCATTCTCTGACCTATTCGCCAGTTAATCCCTGAGTTTCCCTGGTGGGGGACAGAAAACAGAAGTTATTTCAAAATGCCCATTATTTCCCTGTTTCTGGTTTTAACTCCTCACGTGAGGGCGGGTGGCTAAGGCAACAAATGGAATCTTTGATTGAGATCCCTGCCTAGTTGCGAAGGACCCTGGGGTTCCCTTTACTTCCCAGAAGGAAGGCACCCTGACATGCCACTTCTATCACCCCAATCACCTGGCCCCAGGGCCTGCAACCCAGCTCATCTGACCATGTGGAAATGAATATTTAAGCCCAAATGCTCCTTCAATAAGTCATTTTGTTACAACACTTTCATACAATGTTTGGTCAATGGCATCTTTGAAAAGTCAAGAGATTGTTGTTGTTGAGATATGTGTGATTGTGGCATGTAAAGGTATACATTAATGTCCTTTCAAGTTATATGTAACATTTTTTCAATTCAAGCTATGTATTTATACAACATATTGAAAGCTTACATGCCAGGCATGTGGTATTGAACTAATTGGACTGAGTTGTCTGTCTGTCTTTTTCTCCTAAAGACAGACACTGCTTTCTTCAAATCTTTATCATTATAAGGTCAAGAAGAATGGCTAATGGGTAACAGACATTGAATGCTTGCTGAATGAACCTAAGTGCTAGAAAGATCAAAGTATTGCTGCTGCCTTTTGCAATCTACCGAAAGACTCATTCTATCCCTCTATATTTCTATGCATTCTGCCTTTACCCAACACTTTTAACCCTTTTGAAAGCACTGCATCCCTTTGCCTGCTTAAGCCGGAGTGCCCACTGAAGGGGTAAGAGAGCAAAAACTAAGCTCTAGTCAAAAGTTGGTGGAAGAGTCCTTTCTGGAACTTGAATTGCCTGACTTTTCCACACTCCCTCTTGTTCGGCAGTATGGTAATTTCCCATTTAGCAAAAAATATACTGTGTGGGAAGCATCACATCGTCTGGTGTTTTTGAAGCTCCAGTAAAATGAGTCACCGCACCATCATAAGAAAAACCTTGAAATCTTTCCCTTTAGGATTAAGAGTAAAGCCTCATTATGTAACTTCAAACTCTTCAAGAGCGATGGTGAGTAAATCCCAGATAATAGGATTAAAATAGGGGAAATCACGTTCATGATGCTGATGGAACAAAAGCAGTGCAAAGGAGGAATTCTAGACAATTGGTGCTTAAGCCATGAGGATCACACCCTCAGGCCATTTTTGTCAAGGGCAGTCAGTCATTAGTCTGTCTTGTAGCTTGAGCAAAAAAAAGATATGCCAGTTGTCACTTCTGGAACTGCATAGCCATGAAAATTCCATAGGGCGGATACTGATTGACTAAAGTCAAGAAATCCAGATTTATGTCTCATTTCCTTACATCCTGACCAAAAATATAATGTGTGCTTGTTCCTTTTAATAACTTTGAAGAAAGGCAGAACAAAAATCTCTGAAAAGAAATTCTATAAAATTTTGAAACTCCGTACAATACAGAACTCCTGATTTTTGAGGGATCCTCATACATAACATCCCTGCTCCTTACTCCCAAGTTAGATTGAGGTGTCAGGAAGGAAATCAAAATATTCGCTTTCTTACCTGCAAAGGTCAGTTGGGAAATGTGGCGAGGGTGCAGCTTCCTAATATCGTACCCCAGAATTAATTACATAAATGTGAGCACAACTGGATGGCCACTGGCGTCTCCCATGGCGCCTGGCGCTGCCACACGTAGAGCACTGAGGAGCAGATCAAAAGCATGTTTCCGCAGGTGAAAAATGCCTGGAACAGGGCAGAACAAGGACTTACTTATGCTCCGGTCTTCTCAGACCTCAGCAAATAGGTCATTCCCCTCTGCTTGTTTGGGACCAAGGTGCTGCTCTAATGACACTCCTTCCACAGCGAAGGAAGCAAGCTTCCGAAGGAGGGCAGATGTACCCTCACCCCTAGCTCCATGCTTGCTGTTTTAACCTACTGACTGCTTGAGCAAATTTACCCGGGGAGCTATTTTATTCTATATCTCAAATCTGTGATCGTGTGTAATGATTTGTACATCTTGTTAAAATATCTAGTTTCTGCACAGAGAGCCTGCATTCCATGTTGGAATAGATAGTAGACACTGGTGTGCCACCCAGACCTCCCAACCTCAGGACCGAATCCCTCGTATCTCCAGCTGCTGAGAGTTCTGGTGGCTGACACCTCACAGCCCAGCCCCCTCCCCACCTCCTGGGGATTGCTCTCAACCCAGGCTATATCCAATGACTGCTCCACCATGCAGTCTAAAAGCCAGCCCCATTGATCCTATTTGAGGCAACTCTTCATGCCATCAGCTCCTGAGCTCTCTGGGGGTTGGCTGAGGTCCCCATTGTGACTTCACCAAAGCCCACCCTCCCTTGTAGCCCAATTTTCCTCCCCTCTCCCACAGGTGTGTATTCTAATACCTCCCCCCAGGGAAACTTCTGCCCCACAAAACTCCTTCTGGGTCTGTTTCCTATGGAATGTGACCTTCCACAGCTTATTGGAACTGGCAAATTATTCTATATAAATTTATTGCTTAATGTATTAATTACTTTAAAAAGAGATGCTGAATTTTATGCACCAAAATGAATGAACCAAAAAGCCACATTGAAAATATAATCTGGGTGCTGGTGAAGGTTACTTGATAAAGACAGCTAAAACTGGCCCAAACAGCATGACATCTTCCCAGAAGGCCACAGATCACTGCCACTTCCGGGTCCACCCGTAAATAGATCCGAACTTCAGTATCTCTCTTGGAGAAGTGCCCTGGCAACTCCCCCCTCACATCTGTTCTTGAACTGGGCTCTGATCTCATGCGTTGTTTAAATGTAACTTAAAAGGTGGTGTTTACTTCTCTATGGGAGAAAAAATAGGTGCAGAATTAAAACATGTATTTGACATTAATCACCAATACTATTAGCAGCTCTCATTGCAAACTAAGTTATGTTTTTGTTCTCCTTTTGTGCACAGGCCCAGGCCTCCCCATCTCCACCCTTCATGATGGCCGCACCGATCAAGGTAGGCTCTCCTGCATGCTGTTGTCTTGTCTAAGACTACCCTGAAGGAAGCCAGAGGGTTTCTACACCAACAAGGGGAGGTGTGATGGAACCCTGTTACCACCCAGCTGATTGTTACACAGAGTTGGCTATTCTTTGAGTCAAACCAGATCATATAAAATTTAATAATTATTTTCAGTAAGAACTTGACATAACACAGATGAGCTATCTCAGAGGGATTAGTTCTATCTTCCTCAATCAGCTTTATAAAAAGCACAGAAGCCGAAACTGGTCTGGCTCAGTGGATAGAGCGTCGGCCTGCGGACTGAAGGGTCCCAGGTTCGATTCCGGTCAAGGGCACGTACCTGGGTTGCGGGCACATCCCCAGTAGGAGATGTGCAGGAGGCGGCTGATCGATGTTTCTCTCTCATCGATGTTTCTAACTCTATCTCTCTCCCTTCCTCTCTGTAAAAAATCAATAAAATATATATTAAAAAAATAAAAAGCACAGAAGCTTAAAATTGGAAGGAAACTTAGGATAGTTCGTATAACTTACCAAATTCCTGTTTTTTTGTTTTCTTGTAACATTTCAAACTGGAGACAAATTCCAGACATAACTTCAGTTCAAAGCAGGGGGTGACTATCATGCTAGCTTTTTTGTTTTAACAGCTAAGTTACACTGTTGTCACATAGGAAAGCCCCAAATTTGGAGGCTCTCTCCATGTTTAACTGCTACCAAGATAGTCCTCGTCCATCCTATATTTGTGATATTGCCTCAAAATAGTTCACAGAAGAGTTATCCACGTGTATGATTGCCCCGAACCGCTTCCTGAAGTTCTCCATACCTTCGATGGACTATTAAACAGAATTATAGGGTTGAAGCTGATGGTGACTAGGGACAATGAGGGACTTCAGCAGTCATGCCTGCAGACCTCCCTGCACAGCCTCTGTGACAAGCTAGGAGACTGCTTTTGGATGAGGCTGGCTGTCAGCTCAAAGGCTCAGGAATAGGTGAAAATAAGGGAATGAGGATGTCAACTCGCGGTTCTGGGCAGAACAGGCATTGTAATAATGGGACTGTGAATTTAGTTTCATTTTGAAGTTTTTTTGTTGTTTTTGTTGTTTTACCTTGGGTCTAATAATGAAATACACTTAAGAATAACATTGTATTTCTTCGTTTGGCACATCTCAATCTTCAGAACTTAAAGCAGTTCCACTTTCAAATCTGTAACATTTTTTATTGTAATGAAAATCACTATAAATGTGTAATTCCTATTTTTCCGTGACTGCAAAATAAAGGTCAGCTTCCCTTTTCCCAGACACCAATTGCTGTAAGGCTCACATAGCTTCATGACTTTACCTAATACTTAGAAATATACATAATACATAATATGATTATATGTTTTCCAACTTGTGAAATAGAATGCAATTTTTTTAGAGCACAGTTCTGCAAACGTGCCTAATGATAAAATTCTCCAGAGATGTTTATTGTAAATATTCTGAGGCTCTTCCCAGAAGATGCAATTCAATAGATCCTAGATTAGGTTAGGTAATCTGTGTTTTTAATAAATCCTCAAAAAAAATTTGGAATTGCATTTTATAGCAGATGGTGTGTCTTCTATTTATTTGTAGTTTTTTCATTCATTTCCCACTGCATTTGGTGCCACAAATCTTCATTCCACAGATCTTTATTAAGCATTTCTCACACTGTGTTGGATTATAAATTCTTAAAATGAACTGATATTGGCTCAGATACGGTCTCTGTCCTCAATGAGAATATAGATCAATGGAGAATGCAAATATGTGAATGGACAGTAAGGATGCAGTGGGGTACAGTATTAATAGCATGGGAAGCACATAAGTAGGCAGCTCATCTGGGTTTTGGGTTGGGAAATGTTTCTTAATGATAGCTATATCAGACTAATGACTCATACAAGTGAAGGAGGGATTGATGCTGCTGGGTCAATGGAATGATATTGATGTTGTTTATTGACATTGATCACATGGTTACCATGACCATGGAAGCGGATAGACAGCAGAGTGGGGAAAATGAGGGAGGGCAGGGAGAGTGGAGAGTAAGCTTAGACTGAAGCTGTGTGGAACACCAACACCAGAAATGGAAAGAGAAACATGAATCTGTAAAGAAGACCAAGAGGGAACAGAAGGAGGAGGACAACCTTGAGAGTATGTTGGCCTAAAGGGTGGGGCAAAAGAGGATCTGTGTCAAGTGCTACGGAGAGTGAGGCCTGCTTTAAATCCATGAATTTAGCAAGTGGGAGATTAGCATTCGTTTATCGGAGCCATTTCAGTGAAACAATGGAAGTGGAAACCAGACTGAAGTAAATTTAATTAGGAGACAGAAGGGGGAGAAGACTTAAGGAGGGAGGTCCCTGAGAGGTTGGGAAAAGATGGAGTCCAGAGACAGGTGAGGGGATTGATCTCTGGCATTGTGAAGAGAGAGCGAGTGGAGAATTATGGATGCAATTGTATGAAAGCTTGCAGACATTGCAGAAAATAGTACAACAGCTTCATTTTCTCTGCAAAGTGGGTAAGGTCATTTGAAAACAACAGATAGTCCTTGAACCAGATGCTGTAGAAACTCAGAAGAGTTGGCACTTGACATTGAGGGCCCCGTTGAGGATTAGTTGCTTCAGGCACAGCAGGTGCTCATTAAAATTACCCGACTGATGGAATGACCTCATTTATCAGCTTTTAACAGATTCTTCACATGATTTAATTAATGGGCAATATATGCTAGTTAATATGATTTAACCAAAAATCTCACACATGATCCATTATTCTTACCACTTAACTTTATCATAACAAAAAGTGTACAAGTAATCAGAGAAGACATACTACATGTCAGGTACCAGGTACTGAGCGCTGGGCACTGAGCAGTATATACAGTGAGTGGGACAAGGTTAAAGGTGCAGTCTGGACTGTGGCACTCCTTTGCCAGATTATAGGCTTTTAATGCAAAGCTACATAGAGAAGCCCAATTGCCATCCCCCCACTCCTCATAGCCTATAAAATTCCATAGCCTAAAAAATCACCCTCTTCTTAGTAAAAATGCAACCCTAGACAGTAAAAATATTAGTAAACTTTTAAATTAAATTTGACATTTCAGTAAGTCAAGAATCAGAAAAGTTAAATAACTAGGGACAGAATGGAGATGAAATCAAAGTCAAACCAATCTGGAAACATTTACTTATTGTCTCTGACTTCTAATACGTGTTGGAGAAATGATAATAATAGAAATAAATAAATAAATCCTAAATAATGAAAGGCTAATATAGAAATCGACTGAACAGTGGAATGACCAGTTGCTATGACATGCACTGACCACCATAGGGACAGATGCTCAATGCAGGAGCAGAAGCCTGGTGGTCAGTGCGCTCCCACAGGGGGAGCGCCACTCAGCCAGAAGCTGGGCTCATGGCTGGCGAGTGCAGCAGCTCCTGCCTCTGCAGCAGTGCTAAGGACCCCTCAGAGATGTCTGCCTGCTGGCAGGGAGAGGGCCTAAGCCGGCAGGTGGACATCCCCCAAGGGGTCCCGGACTGCGAGGAAGTGCAGGCCGGGCTGAGGAACCTTCCCACCCCCAGTGCATGAATGTCGTGCACTGGGCCTCTACTAAATAAATAAACAAGCAGCCACAGTGTGTGTTTGCTTCACACAGGATTTCCTGTATCCATGATAGTTCAACATATAGAACCCACACAGGGAGAATGAAGAGCAGGCTTCATTATACTCAGAACTGTGTGTCCCATTTATTTATTCATATATATAATTTAATGTTAACTTTTTCTTTTTAACCCTCACAGAGAATATGTTTTTTCATTAATTTTTTTTAGAGAGAAAGGAAGGAAGAGAGAGAAAGGAGAAACATCAATGCAAGAGAGAACCATCGATTGGTTGCCTCCTGATGCCCCTGAATGAGGGTCAAACCCGCAACCTCAGCTTGTGCCCTGACCAGGAATGAACCTGAAACCTTTTGGTGTGTGGGACTATGGGACCATGCTCCAACCAGCTGAGCCATCCAGGCAAGGCTGATTTTATCCTTTTTTTATATATTTATTTTTTTGCTAATACTCACCCAAGGATATTTTTTCCATTGATTTTTAGATAGAGGGAGGAAGAGAGGAAGTAAGAGAGAGAGAGAGAGAGAGAGAGAGACATTGATTGGTTGTCTCCCACACCTGTCCTGACTGGGGCTGGCAATTGAACCTGCAACCCAGGTACCTGCCCTTGACCAGGAATCAAACCTACAATCCCTGTGAGCATGGGACAATGCTCTAACCACTGATCACACTGGCCAGGACTGGTTTTAACTTTTAAGATGACATAAGTATCTCTTTCCTGATGGATTATCCAAAGTTAAAATGAAGTTTATTATGTCTTATACAAGTCAAACCAAAAACATCTATAATTGTTCTAAGATTAAATATAACATGCTGGAGCAAAATGCCATGAATATATGAAAACTGAGAGTTACAAGGGAAGTGGTTTGGCAAACTTAGTGTAGCACCAAGTACTCCTCCTCCAGTTCCTCATCTTCAAGGACTACTTTTTTTAAAAGGCACAAAAACAAGAAGTTCACAGGATGTCTTACATAGAAACCTCTGTATTTCAGAAATTATTCAGACTTGCTTTTAAAAAATAAAGCTACAAACTCTACACATTATATGAAAGTTTAACTTTTCTCTAGAAGATGCTTGGTATAGACTCTAGTTCAAAATAAAACTTCCAAAAAGCCCTGTACGCTGAAAAATGGATTTGTTCAGCTCAAAGATTAAAGTGTGAAATATAACTAAGCTTACATATAAACAGCAGGGTTTTTTAAGAGAATATTTAAAGGTGAAAAACAGAAAAAGATCATAATGTGTACATACTGTTGTTTTAGTAAGATATATAACTACTATGAGAGAAAGAATTTGAAGAAATAGGATGCACAGTAATTCAATACAAAAAAGGAATGCCCTATATCAATCAAGTATACAGCAGGAAAGGGTTAAGGAAGAAATACATATTAAAAAACCAGAAATGTATTTGAAGCAACACATTAACATTTTAAAACAGCTTTCATAACCACTTAAATCATTATTTTAAATTTGGGGTTTCAGAAATATAGTTTTTATTTCTCCTGTTTTTAGTGAATGATAACATAAATGTGACCCACTCAGGTCATAGCTATGTTAAAAAAGAAAAATTAAAGATGGAAAAATATGGCTTAATAAACATTCTTGCTTCTGTGATTCTGCTCAAAGTGTGTTCTGATCCTCTAAGAATCTGTTTAGGAGACAATGGTTGCCGTCCTTCCTAAGCTCATACCTGTTTTAAAGGCTGGATTCAAAATATGCTTGCCGATGTGAAACTCCCGAAGCAGTCCTTACGTTGTTTCACTTGCGTCCATATTAAACACAAGGGCATTTTTAGACAGGAATTTTCTTATGGAATGCTACTAATTAAAAATGGACATTTTATTTTTTTTTTAAGAAATTAAAATCCTGGAAGAAAACAAGGAATTGGAAAACGCTTTGAAAAATATCCAGCTGCCTAAAGAGGAAATAAAGAAACTTGAAGTGGATGGAATTAGTAAGATCTTTTAAAAACTTCTCATTTATAGATAAGAATTTGAGCACGTAGGTTGCTTTTAAAAAATGATACCGTAAATATTATAGTCCAAGTCTGACATTATTACTGGATCTTAATTAAAACAATCTTGCTGTAACAACAGTTACAGTTTTACAAAATATTTTTAAGATGCTTGTAAATAGAGTTGATCTTATACTTTTCTATAGTCCTATTTCAAGGCTGATTTTTTTTAAAAGAGCTTATCTAATTTTAATTATAGAATGTGTGTTTCTAATAGACCAATAACTCAAGATTTCTAGCAATTCATAAATTAAACAAAAATATGTAAACATCTATTTAAAACATTTTCTGGATTCTCAACAATTTACTAGTGACAAATTGATTTTATGGTATATATGTTCTTAAAGGAAATAAATAATGCTGTGAGTATAGTGTAATAAAGGTTTTTCTCTCTTTTTTCCCCCCTAAGCTTTATGGTACAAGATGGTTTTTCCTCCTCAATTTGACAGATCAAAGAAGTATCCCTTGCTAATTCAAGTGTATGTAATATTTTCTTTGGTGTAAAAATTATTTACTGAAAATATGTTGGATTAAACACACATTTATGAGATAGAATCTCTTTAGTAAGATTTCTTATTGATGCTGTTTTTATATATCCCTCCACTAATAAGAGTAAATAAAATATGGCTATTTAAATAGATTGAGAAAGTTTTAAGATTTTAGATGGACTTGCTTGCATTTGCTGTGTTGAATTTCCTTTGTATGGCAAATTGCCGAATGTGTCAGAATACCTTTGAGATAAATTGCAGCCAAAAAAAAATATTGTAAATCATCTTAGCATCTTATGTAATTGAGTTAGAAATGAAATAAGGGAATGGAATACATTCAGTGGAATAACACCCAGAATCACTGCTGACCTACACACAATTTGCTTAAAACACCATGCATTTTTTTTAGTATATCTTATGTCTGCTTTTAGCAAGTGGCAGGTGGCAGAAATGACGAAAAACCCACACATATTCCTTGAAATGCCAACCCTAGATGTATCCGTTTTGGGGAATAGGAGAGGCTGTGTCCCAAAACAACTTCCTCACAGCAAACCTCTGGGGAAAATCCTGGTCCTCTCCTGGTTTTGAGCCAGTTCTAATGCCACTGTTATTGAAATCTTATCACACAAATGTACTGGGAAGTACTAAAGGCAATTCTTGGCCGTGATGGGAAGTTGAGTTTTACAAAGGAATCAGAGATTCTATGTTTTCTTTCCTGTAGGTATGGCGGTCCCTGCAGTCAGAGTGTAAGGTCTGTATTTGCTATTAGTTGGATATCTTATCTTGCAAGTAAGGAAGGAATAGTCATTGCCTTGGTGGATGGTAGAGGAACAGCTTTCCAAGGTGACAAACACCTGCATGCGGTGTATCGAAAGCTGGGTGTGTATGAAGTTGAGGACCAGATCACAGCTGTCAGGTGAGCATCTGTCATTCAGGCAGAAATTGATGTGCGACAAAAGTCATGCAATCACTATCAGGTTTCTCATCCTTAATGGCTTAATTCTTTTTTGCCTGTTTTTATAATGTCTATTTTTCCAACTTCATCTAAAGCTACCATTAATCTTAAAGGGATATTTTTGTCCAAGATGAGAAAAATATTCTTCATAGAAGAGAGCTGATAAATGTGTAGGAAAGTGATTCATAGAGATAGTGACAAATACTCTCTTTCTATGTTTGTTATCCTTATATCCTTTCATTTATTAACACGCCTCACAATAGCAGAAAATTGTGTATAATTCTAGGGATGGTCTGTGGGAAACCAAACAGCTGAATATGCCAAGCATTGTGGATTCTAACTTACACATTTAGGAGTTGGTCAAGATTTCATCAGCACTCTATACCTATAGATGTTAAACATTTATTTGTAATAAACAGCTGTGAAGCACGGTTGTATTAGCATAAAAGTGTTTCCTCATTTTCATTTGAAAAAAGTTCATTTACATTACAGAAATTATATTATGAAAACATTTAGAGAAAAGACAGGTTTATGACCTGAGTCCTTCTTCTCAACTACATTCTCAACCACAATTTATGGATCAATCATCTTTTCCTTAACAAACAACAACACACAAGTTATAGTCATTAATATTGTTGCTTATTTGAAAACACTGTTCAGGATTTTCCTGGATATTTCTCTATAGTTGTTGGGTTTCTATTATTACTGGTGTGAGTAGGTGAAGGTAGACAATAGTAGTTTATAAATGTAAAAGCGAACACAGGCTGATGGCACTCTTAGTCACACTGTGACACACCAAATAGCAATTTAGAAAATTCATTAGTACATTTCTTTGATCATCTTAATGTTATTAATAGTCATTGATTTCATTCACATATACAACACAGATTGTATTTTACATCTAGGAGCCAGGCCCAGACAACACTTTTCTGTAGTTTGTCTGTAATCAAAGCAGAAAAGTTTAGACTCAAAAGTAATTATTTTTTAAAATAGAAAAGTAATCATAACCCATATGTTTTCCAATTTTTCTTCCATTCTGTGAACAGTAATACACACAAAAAATTTGATTAAAAACAGACTCTGAGTAAAATCTTACAAATCAGTAAGTAGATTATCAAATAACACTTCACAATCTGTAGGGCATCATTCATGCCTACGTTGTAGGAAGTTCCATCTTTCTTATGAATCCAGATTTCTTGCCTTTCTGCTATTAACCTTGGGAGAGTCTTCTGCCTGATGGAGAGAAATAGAAGAGATAGTTCAAAGAAAAACTCCTCAAGGAGATGTTTCTCATATAAAGACTATGGTGTACCTTACTGGGAATATTAATACAATTGTCAGAATTATAGACCTAATTCTTTTCACACTTCAGTTCAAATCTATTTGTGTTTAAACCATGCAATAAACACCAATGATAGGTAAGCCTGGGACCACATCAAAAGATAGAGATATAAATTATACCTCACTTGTAATCAATTAGATATTTTCCAAAATTCATAGAGCTAAAAAGTGGTTTTGTTTGGCATTGGTTAAAAAACAATCCCATGATCATCATTTTATCACCACAACCTACCAATAACAACAAAATTTGACATTATATTTTTGTGCATTTATTTGCCACCAAAAACGTAGCATTCAAATTTAAGAATACCCCAAGAAACAACACAGATAGCTTCTCAATGTGTCCCTTGGATGGAATGGAAATGTAAGCCTGAAGCCCATGTAGAAACCTTAAAAGCGTTGCTCTTTCTGGTGTTCAACCTACAGCACAAGAAGCCAAAAAGCCTACTGCTTTTCACAATAACATAAATAAATGTCTTTGGCATTTAGAATTGCAGGTGGACCAACCACTGGCAGTAATTGGCTACCTTTATCTCCAGGGAACTATTTTTAGAATGGAACCTAAAGAAGTTCTCATACTATAGATCAGGCAAATGGTCACTCACTTACTCAGCCACTCAACAAGATCAACTATTAATACATGCCATTGAAATACACTCTGCGTAAAAGTGTGCAGTTTACAATCTCTAGTCTCAATGTACTTACAATCTTTGTAAAGTGGTTAAAACACCTACATGCTAAAGGGACAGCATTGCTGTTCAGTAAAACTTTCAGTAAACACCCTGGTGAACAAGAGATAGCTACGTGGACCACACCAAGGACATACGCAACAGTGAAGATGTCATTTGGGGCTGGCCTTGGCTTTGCTTGAAACTGTTGTTCTGCATAAGTGACAGGAAAGCCTTGGGATCCAATGCTTTGCGAAAACAAAGGCTAAAAAGAATAGATTTATAATGATAATCCCGGAAATAACTCAACCACAGGTTTCCCCAAGAAGTGTTTTAGGAATCTGACACTGAATGTCTGACCTAGGGAATTGGGATTACAATCCCTCTGAGGTAGCCCTCAAATTACCTCCCCGCAAAAGAACGAAATTTGACCCTGTGAATCTCTTATAAAATTCAAGCTGGCTAAATTTTTACATACTAAAAGAAAATCATATGTATATGCTTGGAAACAACAGTAAATTCTAGTCAGGGTCAAAAAAGAGATTCAAGCAAAGAAAAGCAAGGGGGGAAATGTTTAAAAAGAAAATGCACAACCTCACAGCTTTTGACTACACAAAGGACATCTTTCACAGGAGATGCTTGTGGGGTCAAAGAGTAAGTAAAACTGGAACCTGCTTTCTCCGGGCTTCTCTGCAAATGTTACATATGTGAGAGCCAAAAACTCTGGTAGATATAGAGTGAACTCTGCTCATTCGGGATATATTTGGCATTTCTTACATTCCCACAATTTGGAAATTTTATATAAGTTGAGGTTAATAAAGGAAGAATTATGGAATAAAAACATATCATATTATTATATTTGGTATCAATAAGAGAATTTCTAAAATAGAATAATAATTGATCACTAGAATTCCAAGTTGACCTTTGGTCTAGGGCTATTTTTTATGAGAGAAAAGTTGTAAAGTTCAGTCCAGCATCCCAAATTAGAAAAACATGCTTTTTCATTTGTTACTAACATCTTGTTGATTTAACCACATTATCAACAGTGTTTCTGATAACCCTTCTGGAAGCTCTTTAGAATTTGGAGGTACGTTTTATAGAGCCTTGTTGGTCCCAAAGTGCTCATATTATCTAGGCAACCTTTAACCTACTCCTGCCACATCAAGTGTTAATGTTTCATTTCCATGTTAACTATTGCGCTATCACTTCCTACGAACGTCATCGTTTCAGAATACACCTAGGAAGGGAGCTGTTAAAAATTTCCTGTTCCCATGTATCACCTGTTATTTGCTTTTACCCCAGATGCAAGGTTATATGATTGCTAGCTTCTGGGAGATCATAAAAATCACGATTGGTTTTATAGCTCAGAACTGTCTTCAAGCAGGAGTGGCAAGCTTACTTTTTTAACAAAGGAAATGAACCTTTTCTTCTTTCATTGGACTTTTGAAGTTGGAAGAAGAATTGCCAAAATGCCACAATTGGCTGCACATTATCTCTGCTTTACCATGAACGGCACCCGCACAGGTAGCAATTTTCCATTTGCTACTGCATTTCCTCCCTGTACACACGCCTCAGTGTCCCTCAAAGTCGGTGTTGGGTAAGCTGTGACTGACGGGGCTTCTTCCCATCTGTTTGTCCCGGGCATGTACCCAACTCCTCTGTGCACTGGTGATGCACACGTCGACTCAATGCAATGAGCAACATGGTCACGGTAGAGAAGCTCAGTGTTTCAACTAATGAAAATCACTCCATCCTGCCTGAGGAGAAGAGCCAGAAAGAGCACTAACATAGCTGAGAGGAACAAAAAAATATGTGTTTTTCTGGGGACATGTCTGTCACTCTGTCTCCTCCTCTCCTTCCCATTACTGTTGCATCCTGGCCTCTGCAATGGCTCGTCCAGTTTGCCTTTTTCTCCCTCTGCTTCTGTTTCTCTGAGAGTTTCCTGAGTTTTTATCACACCATTCCCAAAATAAATCACAACTTCTCTGGAACACCAGCCCTCAAGGGAGCATGGGATAAATTAGCCTAAAAAAGCATTATGTGTGCGTGTGTGTGTGTGTGTGTGTGTGTGTGTGTGCCAACCTTGCAAAGTTACATTTTTGAGGGCTCCCCGTGACTTTTAAAGGTTGCCCTTCAGCATGCCCCTTGTTCCTAAGGAGAGATTTATTTTCAAAATAGTTTTCAAATAGAGGCTCTTCTGTGATGGAGCTCAACTGAACCATGTCCATGTGCTTAAAGATACACATCATTGTTCATACCATGATAAACTGAGGGTGCTGAAGTATGAAATGGGAAGAGGGGTGGATATTTTCCCATGGATGGCTGTGACCAAAAATGAGATGGTGATTATCATTAGCATCTAAGCAAACAAGGGCATGATAAAATAAATGAAATTTTAAAAAGCAACATCAAAAATATTATTTTCAAAAGCTGTGGATTTGGAAATATGGCCCTAGTCATTGTGCCACTACCCCTCGTGTTACTGTGAGCCTGTCTCTTGTCCTCTCTGAGTTGCACATAACTCACCCACACAATTAGGTTATAAAGCCTTCCAGCCCTGAAAAGCACTACTCGATAGATGTGCATCAGAGTCTAGAGGATCCTCTTATCTTTTGCAGAAAACATGATAATATTCTTTTAATTATTTGTAAATGCAGCCTGATTATGCATGTGTTTAAACAAAGAAAATGTAGCGCTTCTATTAAGTTTTTGAATTAAATATGCTTGTGTAATGAAGTAAATGTCATGTGTACACACTTAAAATTCTAAAAATTTGTTTCTTTTACTTTAGAAAATTCATAGAAATGGGTTTCATTGATGAAAAAAGAATAGCCATATGGGGCTGGGTGAGTTGTTTTATATGTTTTATGCTTGTTATTCAGTTCAGCAATCATCATTTTCTAAATTGTTCGCTTATAAGATTTCTCATGAAATGTTAATGTTGCAACATAATTTAATCTGTCAATGAAAACAGTCAATTTTAATAATCTGGGCTTCAAAGCGATGGCTATAATTGTTTCTTTTTTCTCCCAATCATTTCATTTCTTCCCTGTATAGCAAATTAACTCATGATTAACACATTTCTACTTAATTTTTTGGTATTATATTATATTTTACTGGACTGATCCATATTTATCTGAGGTTGAATTCCCTTTGTCATATTCAGGTTAATACATATCTTTTGTTTCATATTTCATCATTTCATTTTTATGAAAATCTAAGTTAAAGTTTGAAATTATAGAAACATTCAGAATATAAATTCCCTAGAATCTTTTTTATCCAGGTCATATCTTTTTTTTTTTTTTTAAATATATTTTATTGATTTTTTACAGAGAGGAAGGGAGAGAGATAGAGAGCCAGAAACATCGATGAGAGAGAAACATCGATTGGCTGCCTCCTGCACATCCCCCACTGGGGAAATGCCCGCAACCCAGGTACATGCCCTTGACCGGAATCGAACCTGGGACCTTTCAGTCCGCAGGCCGACGCTCTATCCACTGAGCCAAACCGGTTTTGGCGCAGGTCATATCTTATTTGATTTAGGGGCAGAGGGGTAATAAAATTTTTACCAAACCTAATGTTAATTTGTGCTAGCTACAGGTCCTGGCAATAATTTCCCATCTCTAAGGAACTGTGCCGGTCTTTAAAAGGAAGTAGCAAAAGTTATCAGTTATGGGAAATGAAGCCACTAAAAAGTTTAGAGAAATATTGCAAAGGATTTAATTTGCCCACTATAAATTATGATAATTACTCTTCAAGAAAGATTTCCTATTTCACTTTTTGGTCTGAATTTGTACATTTGCAAGTCAATTTGCAGCCATTTGTGCTTGCGTTGTTTTTCTTGGCTGTTTTCTGTGAGAGCGGCCTGCACACGATGGAGGGAATGAAACCCAATACTGAAGGGAATCTGCAGAATTCAGCGCAAGTCTCAGCTCAGTGACCAGATGAAGAGCTGTTGTGAATTTGTGGAAAGTTGTTACTTCAGGCCATTTGGTGCTTCTTAAAACCATCAAATGTTAAGTATCTAAACAGAATGGAACTCAAAGGGTGTAAATAAATAAAATACTTTATAGTGAAATATTTCAGATAAGACCCTTCCTACCATCCATTTTTATGAAGTTTTCTAAAGTAAAGCTTTGAAAGATTCAAATTTCAAGCTGAATACTCACATATAATCATTAACATTTCTCTTAGAATTTTATTATGCTTTTATTGTAGGCTTTGAAATAACCATAAAGTGGAACTTTTAATTTCATTTCTGGAACATTCTAAGTATTAATTTGGTAGAGAACCATCTATGTGGGATGATTTTAGGAACCCACTCATCACCCAAAAATACAGCCATATCAGTCTGAAATTCTTTAATAAGAGATTTTCACCATATTTGTGCAATGCTTCTGGAAGAAATTGTATATTAGGCCCCTTTATTGCTTACTTTCCAACATGGCAGTGATTGTGAGGTAAACCCTGAAAGCATGTGTGGGAGAAGAAATGAGTAAACTGCTAAGGGATATAACACTTGAGCAGCCCCTAAAATCTGCAGGAAGACCTGGGAGATCATGAAGGAAAAAGACCTTAACACTGTACTGGTTTTATTAGTTCTTTAAGTTTAAGACCAATTCATATTTACTAATCCATCCATCTTATCGTTGACTCATTCATTCTTCCTTTCATGTACAAAAAGTTAGTGGATCTCAACTAGATCCTCTATTAGGTTCTTTAGAGGATGAAAAGATGAGTAAGTTATCTCCTTGGACTTCTAGTAGAGAACACAGAGAGTAAGAAAAGAATTATTCAGGAAATGTTCCAAGTGTTGGGAGAGATAAAACTTGTGGACAACACCAGAGAGAAGAGTGGTTAATTCTGGCTGTGAGAGCTCAGGAGAGATTCAGAAATGAGGTAGCAGTAGAGCTTGATGAAAAGAAGTTGGTTAAGGGGCATTCCAGGCAGAGTGAAGACAACATTGCCCAGGTCCTAAGGTAACAAAGAGTATGGTCTATAAGGGGGGGACCCTGAGTTGGTTAGGAATGCCTGAAATTTTAGAAGTTTTATAAATATAAGGTGTATGATGAATAAGGTGTAGGTGCATCTGAGTAGATAGGTAGCCATGAACCTGAAGTCCTTTTAGGCCACATAAAGGAGAATGGGCTTTATCCATGGCTCTGTGACATGTTTCTCTTCTCATTTTCCTATGTCTCTATGGTCATTACAATCCATTCATTCTTTAATTGTTGGTGTTTTCTCTGGGTCTGAGCTTGGTTCTCACTGTTCTTCATTTCCTTGGAGAAACCCATGTGGTTTCAAGGTTAATGACGAGTGCCAGATCCCTGCCACTAACCCACTTCTCTCTTCTGAGCTCCACCTTTCAAATACCTGCTGATCACCTCTTGAAAATGTCATGAAGGGGCCTCAAGCTTAACTTGCTCAAGCTAAGCTTGTAGTAGACTACTTTAAAACACGTCCTCATCTTTATTAAGGACCCCACCACACACCTAGTCATCCAAGTCATTAAGTTCAGAGCTGTTTTCAACTTTCCCTGTTCCCTGACTCCAAACATTCTTGGTTAGTAAATTCTGTCAATTCTACCTTCAAACTTAGAAGTCTTTTATCATCCCCACTGACGTTGCCATAGTTCTTCATGTTATTTAGGCCAGAGCTTCTCAAATTTGGGCTGCATGTGTATCACCTGGAGAACTTGTTAAACCCAGTTTCCAGGGCCTTACTACCTGAGGTGGTGATTCAGTATTCCAGGTGGAAGCCTGGGGGTTGCATTTCTAACAGGATCTCAGGTAAGGCTGATTCTTTTGGTCTATGAACCATAGGTTGTGTGGTACCAGTTTAACTATTACAATTGTTTGTGTGGTACCAGTTTAACTATTCTTTTTTTAAAATATATTTTT